TAATTTAAGTTTAATAATAAAACAATTTATTTTTGGTTTAATATTATAAATTTTATAAAGATAATAATTAAGTATTCTGTTAGAATTTAATAATTATATTAATTATATTTTAGATTTTTTATATTTAAAATGAGATGTTTATCCTGTATTTGATTGTGTTTATTTGCAGTTAGTTACACGAATTCATATATGGGAAGGGTTTAAGAGTTTTAAGAGTTTTAGCCAAATGTTTTATAATATAGTATAGATATAGATTATTTGACCTTTAAATAATCAAAAGTATAATTTGTTGATCCAAATATTAAAAAATCAAACATCCCTTAACCTCATCAATTTCACAAGTTATATTTAAGTGAGAGTTTAAGATAAAGATTAAAGGCATGTTTGTTAACAACTTAACAAGACTTGCAACTTATTTAGTTTTGGTAGTGGATGAATGATATAGAAATGGGCTTAATCAGTAAACTTCTAGGGTAGAGCTTTATGCAAAAAATCAAGTTTTTTTTTTCAAACATGTTCATCCCAAGTAAAAAGAATGTTCTTATCTGTCTATGAAAAAACTTTCATCAACAAAAATCTTTCCAATATATATAGACAGATTAATCTACACAAACTTTATTCATACTAGACTTCATAAACTAACATATCGCACCTTGATCATCTGTAAACGAAAACTACGAGCATAAGAAAATAAGGTTTTATCTAACATGGTAATCGTCTCTTTGCGGACAAAACCGACATCACCTTGGAATCACAGATTCTCTTGAAAAACGCGTTCAAGAGCTTCTGTGGTACCAAGTTAAAAACGGATTCGATTTTGAATCTAACACACCCCTCCCTTCGATCTTTTGTGCGAAATTGGGTGTTTGTTTTTTGTATTTAAATCAATATCCATAACAACAATCTTTTTGAAAATGAAACCACCCTACTTCAAGTACTCATCTAAAGTGGGCATTATAGTCATTTTAATGGAGGAGGTTACATATAAAAATTTGCAGGTGACCTATGAAAAGCAGTCTTCTATGTTCTTATGGGGAGCTTGTGCATGGCAGCAGTCACTCTCTCATCAGATATAGTTTTGTGGGTATCATAGAAATCTAGTATTTCCATTGCTATGTTCTTCACCTGTCAAACAAATAATCAACACATCATAAATCCACTGAAAAAATACTGTTTATCTTGAGACAGGGTTAAGGCCTGCATACATCCTACCCCCATGATCCTATCTTTAGATGGGATATGTTGGGTTTGTTTGGTTTGTTTTAAAAAATTCAGTCAACACGTTGTATCTTGAGACAATAGTTAAGGTCTGCATACATCTTACCCCCTTGACCCTATCTTCAGGTGAGATATAATACTAGGTTTGTTTAGTTTTACAAATCTATTCAATACTTTGTATCTCGAGACAGAGTTAAAAGATCTGCGTACGTCCTACCTTTGACTATACCTTCAAATGGGATATATTGGGTTTGTTTAGGTATATAAAGATAGTCAAAACTATGCATCTTAAGACAAAGTTAAAAGATTTACGTACATCATATCTCTGACAATAACTTCAAGTGGGATATACAGAGTTTGTTTGATTTGGTTCTGTAAATCCAGTCAAAACTTTGTATATCTTGAGACGAGACTGAGGGCCAGTTCGGTTTGCAGAATTTGGTAGGATTTTGGAGGGATTTGGAACTGAATTTGTATTTCAATTCCGCTTTGGGTTTAAAGAAAAGGTCAAAATTGAAATCCCACAAATATTGGATTTAGAAATCCCATAGAGTTCTTGGTCACGGGATTCCATAAGATTTTGTTTGTAATAATGCTTTAAAATATGTTTATAACATTCGTTTTGTATTAATCGATTAATAAAAGGTAATTTAATTATTTTTATAATGTACCTATAAAGAATGGAGTTCAATTCCATTTCATATGCTACACACCAAAGATTCCACATCCTTTAGATTCCAAACCTTTCTACGAAATCAAAATCCCTCAAAAACATTTCGTCAAACCAAAAGGGCCCTTGGTTAAAAGGGTTAAATATAATGGGTTTGTTTAGTTTGGTTTTACGAATCCAATCAAAAATAGGCAGATAGGGGTGAGGTAAGGTGCGGGTGCAGGGCGGATATGGGATGCATGGTCCTATGGAGGAATGACTCGCGTCACATATCTGCCTCCTTGTGACCAAGATTCTAACGATGCATTAATGTAGAAATGCATGAACAAAAGCAGACGTACCACGTTCATGTCGACTCGTAGATCTTCGAACCAAGCCGTGTTTTCTTTCTCTTTGAGCACGCTAGCTACATATATGCAGGCTAATCCAATCAGATATGGTGGGTGTACGAGAATTAGATCCGTCTTATAGGTATCATTCACAAGTCCCCTACACGATTCAATACATCTCAAGATTAGACTTCCACGATCACACCACCATTTTGTTATTTAGTAATCAATGACAAAAGCCGGTCAAAGAAAAAAAAAAGAAATCATGCTACAAAATGATAAAGAGCATGAAATTGATTCGTACAATATTGAAATAAATATGGTCAAAAGAACATGTCGAAAAAAAAGTCAACTAGTTGATGCCCAATGGTCTTACCAGGTCAGCTGAGTTGCTTCGCTCATCCCAGCATCCTGAACCAACCTGTTCAAGATAAACCAAACCAAACCAACTCTATAAATCCCATGCATTATAGCGTCGGGAGACCAAACGGTCAATTGGTCAATATCCCAGCAGTATTTGGGTTACTAGTAGATACCAACCTTCTGAGAGGTCAAGGATTGAAACCTCACCCAAAGTTCACAACTGTATCTGGATTTTGGGTTCGGTTCCCGTGAGAATGAGAGTCGTGGTGAGAAGAGTAAGAAGGGATCCCCACCCTTGGATCAATCCTAATTGAAGAGTTCCACTAGATCAACACTAACGAGAAGCACCGGGATCAATTCCCTTCTAAAGCGTAATTCATGGGTTGTTTTGAGATTAAAAATGATCAAGGGTCCAAATCCCTTCTTACACTTCTCACCTTAACTCCTATTCTCACACAATCCTTTGTCTTTGGGTTTTTAGGGTTTGGGGCCAAGGGTCAATGGCCCACCAGTTCCCGGGTTACAGTAGATCCTAACCTCCTTGGAGGTCAAGGGTTCAAGCCTCACAGAAAGTTACGGTGTATGTGTGAGTTTTGCGTATATAAATATTATATACTTCAAAAAAGGTAGGGTCTAGGAGTAGAGTATACAAAAACCTTTCGTCTACCCCAAGGGGTAGAGACTAGAGAGGGTTGTTTCCATAAAAACCCTCGGCGTGTAAAAAGAAAGCGAACAAGAGATTCTTACTGAGACAATGCACGATAAGGATGGAACACGACAAGATAATAGTTTAATGCTTCCAAAATTTTCATTTCCATCTCAAGTATCTCCTTGATTTCACACCGGTACTTTTCATCTGCATCTGCAAACAAGAATGGAATATTGCTAACAATGCCATTTCGGGATTTAAATGTTACTCCCTCCATCACAAAATAAGCGTTCATATTTCAATTTCAGTATGTCCCAAAATAAGTGTCTATTTTCAAAAGTAAGTGCTTACACTCCAATCCTACCCTTAATTATCAGATGAAAAAGTTCATCATTCCCTTTATTGTTAATAGTACAACTGTCATTTAGTTAATTACACATTTCTAAAATTGTGTATCTTTTTCATTGTGGGCATTTATTTTTGGGAGAGAGGGAGTAATTAAGAAAATGATGTTGCTTAAGTTTGAAAAAGAAAAAAGTTACGGAGTTTCTTTATGTAGAACACGAGAAGTCTTGCTTGCACAGTGCTTTCTTCGGACTTTGACGCCAAGTACAAGCACGATGGAGCCACGAGTCGTGGATCAAATTCAGACATACTTCTCCTAAAGGCTCATGAAAAACGACCACTTAGCAATATTTTGGTTCTAAAAATCTCAATCAAGATAAAAAATATATGAAAATGTATCAAGAAATTCCTAGAATGGTAAACAGATCTTGAGGGCCGGCTCAACTAGCAAATAAAGACCAGGCCTTGGGACTCCTTCCCATAGGTTGCCAATTCCAGTCTCCTTAGGGCCACTGGCAATATTCATGGTTGTTATCTCCAGGGCCCTATGAGATTAGTCAAGTGTGCACAAATTGGTCAGACACCCACCATTTAACCAAAAAAAGAATAATAAACAGAACACAAACGTGCATACAAGCCAAGCATATGTATATCATATAAGCATTGGAGATTATAGAAATACCTTATATAAACACGTCTCATATATGTTACAGCAGTCGCTATGACCCTGAAATAGTAGCATAATAAAGAACTTTAAAACCCTCATGAACTACATGATAAGATGTTCAAAAACCGAAAGTGGGGCCTGGGGGATTGATGCATGAAACGTAAGCAAGTTTTATGGATGCATTACAGCTTATGATCACTAATGGCCAAATTAACACAGGAGAGTAGACTTTAGAGCTAATATAGTGAAGAAATGTACTTATAACAACAAAAACTTGAGGCTAACCTTTGCCTCACTTTCACATTTTGAGCCAATCTCGCAATGTCTGGAAGGGAAAAACAGAAGGAGAAGAAATACAAGATTAAGAAACTACGTATTTGATATTCTACAAGTAATCTAGACACAAACAAGAGTAATCAGCAAGTGCATTATCGTGCCGATTAGATTAGATATGCAATTCTTAGATATTTCCCAAATTGAAAAATCTATACATAGCAATATATGTAGTGTGATAAGCTTCATAACTTTGAGATTTATCGCCTTTTAAAAGTATAAAACACCAAACCAAACTAACCCAGTAAACCCCACTAGAAAGTAGGGTATGGTAGGGTGAGATGTATGCAAACCTGACCTCTACCACAAATAGCAGAGCAGTTGTTTCCGTAAAGACCCTAGATTGTGCAAGAGTGTAAGCAAACAGGTTCTAAAAATATGCCAATAGCTATTATAAAAATTATTAGGGTGAAGAACCGAAAGTCCAGCCAGGTAGAGGAGGTGGGCATCCTTGCAGAATGAGTGCAAGGTCTAGAGTTCAAGTCTAGACACCACCCAGCCGTCTATGGACACACGATTTACCTCCTCCTTAATCCCTGATGGTCACATGACCGGTATAATGGGGCGTTCCAAAGGGTGGCATCATACCTTTTTTGCAGAATACAGAATATATACATATCTATCACACACACATACTAGAACCATCAATGCAAAGTTCAATTTTGTTTCATTTTGAAGCTTGATTCTAAAAGAAGAAATATGTGGGAATTGGGATCCTAATAGAAGCACAAATTTATAGAACTGATTCTTGCAAACAGTAATCCTAACTTTTATAGCACAAATACATACAGAACAAAGGTTTATCAATGATCATATCCATAAGCCCCAAATAAGCCCACAAATCACAATTCGGCAATATCCACACCTTTTTTTCAAGTCATGGTAGTCAAAATCCCACCGCAAATGATTAATACTAATCCAATTTGATGACATACAAGTTATGAGTTCAACAAAAATGAAACAGATGATGAAACAAAATCCCCCAAATGAATACCGTGATTGGATCGATGATAAACAAACTTATAATCAATCAAAGCTGAACCAATAAATAGGCATAAATAAAGAGGAGAGACAGAGAGGTACAATTGGTCATATGCAATTTGATGAGCTTGAAATCGTCGAGAGTAATTCCCCTCTCCTTATCAACGTTATGGACCACATCCACTTCTTCTTGGTCCAATAACTCTTTGCTAAAACACAGAGACGAAACCAGATACAGAAATCATCAATCAATAATTGTGATTATCGATTTCAAAACCAACCGATACAATCAAACAAAAGCTTGAAAACATGAAACCCTATCAGTGAAGAGGGGAAAGGGAAAGGGAATCCTACTAGTGCGTGGATGTCCAGAAATTAGTCGCCATTTTCTTGCGGTGGGAGTGGGAGGAGAGCAAAGGGGAAATGGAAGTTGCAATGCAGGTTACGAAATGGAGTTTTTGTGGGCTGTTGTATTGATATTGATTATTGAATGCGCGCCGACTCCGAGGCCTATTATCATTTAAGGTTTTTTGTGTTTGGTAATTGGATCATGAGTTTACTCTTGTCTTGGTCCATACTCTTTCAACACCTATAAGTTTTGCAAAACTCGAATAGTCTCAAAATTCGACCCATGTTTGTGCAAAACTCGAATGCTTTGAAATCTGAAACCCGACTTTTCAGGATTATTTGGGTTTGGGTCTTATTCGAATCTGATCAGGATACCCCCCCAACCAATAAGATATTGGTTTTCAAACACACACGGTTATCGTTGCCCAATCAGTAGCGATTATCACATGAATATCACCAAATGCAAATACACATTGTTTGGTTGGTTCGATTAGGTTCATGTATTGTATCACACGATTATCAATGTTCAATCACAACCAAATACGAATATGAATCGTCTGGATAATCATGACGATCACTTAATCCTATACAAAGCATCAATAGCTTCCTTACCTACAACATACGAATCCTCCATTATCGGTCGAAAAAAGAAGGATACTTCGAATATCATATATTTCGATACGATAGGGACGTTCTATTCAATATGAGCATATCACAAGATAAAATCATTGGATAATTCCAATTAATTAAGATAAGATAAAAAAATTATAAAAATACCTAATTACATTACTATTTTTATTAATTTATTTTATTTAGTATAACTTAAATTATTAATTAAAAATATTTAAGACCCACAACTAGTCTTGCAATCTTGTAAATTACAGGAGCTTTCGTTTTAACTCCCGTATTATATATATATATATATATATATATATATGGGGAAGATCAAATGTTAACCAACAATTTTGTGTTAACTTTGAAAAGTATGGCAACCAATCAAATTTCATTATTCTTGTAGGTCTATGTCATGTTCACATTTTAATTACAAGTGTATTTCAGTAAATTGATTTGATATGTAACTCCCAAACAATTAATAGGGAGTTACAAATCATCAAATCCCAAAAAATATGCATTTATAATATTAATATTTTTATTTTTTTTAATATTGATCTTCAATGTTCATTGTTTTATCAGGATTTAATTCGCATAGAAAACACGGTAATAAAAATTTCCGGTATCGATCAAGCTAATATGGATAAGCAATGGAAAATAAATCGACAACAGTGAGAAAATTAAAATGGTTTATGATGACAATCGGAGTT